AGTTTTTTCCTCCCATAAGCCTGGCCTTCTTACAGTAGTGTGTGGACTGATTCTTCTGGTGTAAAACGTGTAAATGTACGTGCGGGTGCATGTTTTTAAATATATACACATTGTGCAAGTCACCCGACACAATCCCAGTTTTATGCGTAAGCAGTGTATTATATACTGTATTCATAACATACCCTTCACACTACAGATTTATGCTAAAAGTATCCTAATGTTTCTGACAGCTCATGTGTGACATGAATGTAATCCATATTTCTTGGAGGAGCTAATCTAAGCGGTTTATTTTCCGATACTGCTGATAGGGCTATATCTCTTGATGTCACAGCAGTTGAGATTCTGATGGTAACATATTGTTTATGGGTCACTGCCTTTGTCTCAAAGAATAGGTTGGAACAGAATAGCAAAGGTTAATTAAGTTTGTCTATCAAGGAGGGACAGATATAGATGTCTCTTGTATTTTCTATGCTAGAATCAAAGGAAGTCAAGACAGAGTGTCATAGTCTCTTTTTCCTTGTGCTATAAAATATGCTTACTTGGTTTTAGGAATGAAACAAAACCACCTTGAGCAGTGCAAGTGCAGCAGCAGTTGTGAGGGGTCAGCTCTCAGGTGGTAGCATTACCAGATGGGAGAGCAGTGGCCACTCTGCTTTACATCTTGGGAAACTGAGGCACAGAGTTGTTTGGTGGCTTGCCCAAGGTCACACAGCCAGCAGGTAATGGACCAGGGGTCCTTAACATCCAAGTTTCTGCTCCAGTGTCCTGCTGTTGTATTCTTGCCTCACACTAAAAATTGACTTCTGAATTCTGTTTGCAAATGACTAAATGCAAAACCGAATTTTATGCCCCCTAAAATTGCCTTTTTTTTTTTTTTAAGACCCAAGGAGGAGGATATGTTAAGACTCTTAACGGAGTCTCTCTGGTGTTTCAGTAATTTTGGGTTTTGTTCTAAGATAGCTGGTGGTAAGTCTTGGGTGACATGGACACACGGAAAACCTGGGCTAGATGTCTTGGCTGAGTTCAGCTAAGTGGTCGTGATGATAGTTTGATTTCTTTTGTTGCTCAGAAATGCTTTGCAGTGCTTGCCACCCAGGATTAGCATCTGTGACCTCCCCCTGCTTTTTCTTCTTGGGAATAACCCCCTCCCCAGTCAGGATCAGCTGCAGAGTGTTAAGGTGATAATGCTAAGTATAACACTGGCTTGCTCGCCAAGAGACTGCAGCTGGCTGCTCCTATGCATAAAAGAATTACCCATATGATGCTCTGTCTAAAATAAGTCATCTGGGAAGGGCAGCCCATTTGCTAGTCTCCAAGGCTGGAAGGAGAAATGAGCCACCAGGTGTGCCTGCCTTACCTCTTCTCTTTCTTAGATCTGGCCACCATCACTCCTCAACTCTTCCTCCACCAGGAGTACATTTAAAGGCTATGCAGATGCTGCCAGGAACATGGGAGGAGCAGCAGGACATCACTGTTGACAAAGTTTTTTTGTTTTTTGCAGGACTCCCTGGAATGATCTGAACTGACACAGAAGCATCCTCTTTATGCTACTCTGTTTTTTGATACATGTTCTGTCACTGCTGGACACTGCTGTAGAGCTGCACTGGCTGTTGTGCTCAGTGATTGACAAATCCTGCTTCCAGCTTGCCTGTGTGTGGACAAGCCATGGCTGCACCTTGGTTCCCCATAGAGGCTCTGCAAGTGGACAGGGAGAGAATTCCTATCCTGCATGGTCTTTTTATTAGGCCATGTTTATTTCTTCATGGGTTCTTAGCATCCCATTGCTGCTTGCAGTACATCCTTTGAGTGGTTACGGAGTGCACACTGTGTTGTACAACTTAGAGCAACTTGTAAATATTGAATAGGCCAGATGTGCTTCTCAGGTGATCTGTGCCTTCCACGAAAGTCTGTGAGATACTTGGTGAATTGGTGGTTTTCAACTAAAACACCCTTCACCCTGCAGCTGGGGCAGAGCATGAGCAATGCTGGGCTAGAGGGGGTGCTCTGGAATAAGTCAGAAACTCAAGTGTGCCCTGCAAAGAGTACGTGTCTGCTCAGGTCTGTCAGAGGGGGGGCAGTCAGCCTTTTGCACTGCAGCAGAATTGCTTCCTGTAGTCCTGGAGGTAAAGAGACAAATCCTAAGCTAGCAGTGCTGTGGAGCCAGGCACGGTACACAGCCACAGTCAGGTAACTCCTCCTGCTGCCAAGCTTGCAAAAGGAGAGGAGAGAGTGGGAGGACGTGTCTGGGGTTGCTTGAGATGCTGCTGTGGTGTCTGCTGGAAGGCAGAGTACTCAGAATTTGTGTTGTGCCCTTCTCTTCCTCAGCATTTCCTCACCCAAAGCATGCCTTGTTGTCGTGGCACATAGCCAGCAGTGATGCTGACTGGCATGGCTGGTGGGACCATTCCAGCCCTTACCTATTTTGGCCTCACTGGGGCTGATGAGGAAGGCAGGAGAAGATGGCAGAGGGCTAGGCACCTCCTTCTGTGATACATGCGTGACCTGGAGCCGAGACCCTGCAGTTCCCTCAGGAGGTGACCCAGGAGGATCCCCAGCTGGGCACCTGGCTCCCACCTTCAGAGAGGTGCACTGCACTGAACGAGAAATGATCCAAATAGTCCAAGGCCTCCCCTGGACTATTTGTATCTCCTGTTCTAGCTGTAGCACCCCAAAATGTGAAGGGACACTGCAGAGCAGCAGGAGTTAATACAGAGCAAGTGCCCCTTCTCTCTGGGTAATCATCTCCTAAGCCCCCTTTTTAATGCAGCACTAAGGTCAAGAATTTTTACGACTGGTTGTTTTTTTATTGTTACTGTAAAATAGGATTGCTAAGCACTATAAAAAGGAAACCTTATGGTTCAGATTTACTGTGGTGTGTATTCTAAACAGTTTAATAAAACAAAACCAAAAGCTTTTAGATTTTCTTCAGTGGTTAATACACAGCATATTCTTTGCAGAGCCGAGCCTCTGGCTGTCGGTCGAACTGTGGTTCATAGACTTGGTGTGGGTAATAAGATTATAAAACATGTCTCTTGCTAGCCAGCTACCACACACTAATAATAATAGTAGTAATAATTCATTGAATCCAGAGATTTTAGGTGAGTTGTTTTTTAAGAAACGGAGAAAAAACCCTAAAATAAAAGGTTTGAAAGGAAACAGGTCACTGCATATGCTCTACAGAGAAAAGAAACAAGCACACAATCATTTCAGTGCTAGGGAGCTATTCCTTCATTTTGTTACAGCTAAAATAATACTGTCTCCATCAGGTGACCTTTTTTTAGTTGTATGTGTACACACATGCACATATGGGAGGGTGAGGTGAAGATCTGAGAACGGGATGCTGCTCATAGTCCTGCCCCAGCAAGGGCAGTAAGACCGTCTGTGTAAAAATGCAGGCAGAGGGGACTTTGTTAACTTTTTTTTTTCAGCACTTCTAGAACCATTGAGCTTTATGGGAGTGCAGATTCAGAATGACCTTTGCACCAAGTTTTTGGGCAGTTTATATTGCCAGTCCATAATTTTAGGGCAGTGGCAGCCTGGGTTTTGCTGAAGAAGCATGTGAGAAGGCATGGTTGCCTGTTTCCAGGAGGAGACTGCCCTTGTCAGAGCAGCAGAGGGGACCTCAGTGTCTTGCTGGAGTTCAGACTCCCTTGGAACTCACCACAAACTCCACTCCAAACAAACCGGGATGTTCCCTTCTGTCTTGGAGAGTCCCAGGGGGATTTTATGTGATTTGGACCACTTTATTTCCCATCTGGCAGTTTAAGTACTAAAGATAGTTTTGAGTATTGAATTAGCAAGGGACCACCGTCCACAACAGATCAGCTGTCTGCATCCTCTGCTCTTCAGCTCTGCATTTCTCTGCCTCTGATGGACCAAGATGGGAGACGTGGCTGAGTGGGACCTGTAGGTGCAGTGGTAATGCAGGCAGAGCTCCTCTTCAGCCAGTGAGACACAGGCCAAAAAGTCTGTTGAGCACTTTGCCTTGCAGAGGTGCTGTATAATGGCACAGCTTCATGTCCCTTACTTTTGGCACAGCTGCCTTTTTCCCTGGTACAAAGCTATCATTTTTTCTCTGCCCAGAAGCTTTCCATCTTACAATCATTCACTGTCCAGCAAACTTAGGGAGACTAGATGGTATTAACTTTCCTTTTGAAGAGCATCTTCTTGCACAGATTTTGGCTACTTCTTTTTGAGTATTATAGCCATGTTACATTGTAGAGCTTTGGAACAAATAATAGTAGATGGTAGGCCTTTTGTAAAACAAAAATTAAAAAAGCATTGCTGCCTCTCCAGGGAGATTAGTTTGGGTCATTTGAGGGTGTTGAGTAAGACAAACCTTGATTTCTGAGTACTGCCAACTTGGCTGCTGAGTCTGGGAGGGAGAAGGGGCTGTCTGATCATTCACACACTGAGCTGACACAGCTGACTTGCTTGTGTCCACTTGTGGCTCCACTGCAAACTTGCTGTGTAGTCTGCCTACAGCTTGATTTGTCTGTAAATGCAGATTTTTATTTCCCCATCTCATTTGTTTTTAAGAGAAGTGATGTGTGTTTGTGTGTGTGTCACATGCTCACATTCAGTTGAGTGTGTCCTGAGCGAGCTGGGAGGTTGAACTGTCTCCCGAGTCCATCCTGCGGGCTCCTGGTGGAGAGCTACCACTGGTCTGAGGCATGTTGGTCTACTTGGAGGTCTTAGCAGTGAATATTATATGTTTTTGTGCCAGATACAGGTTTAACTTAGATAAGGTAAATCAGCTTGTCCTCATGCTGGTTTTGCTGCTGCTAGATCACTTAATAGGACTGGGTCTGCTCGCTGGAGCTGGGTGGTGTGGACGCACCTTCAGCCAACCACAGCAAAAATCCAGGGCTGATGTGTTGGGATTTGTCTTCTCTTCTGCCCTCCGTGGTCTCCCTCAAGGATGTGTGCCTGTGGGCAGCAGGGTGTGGGTACAGTGCTGAGGCTCAGCTTTTGTATCTGTTGTGATCCTGTCTCCACAGGCGAAGGGGATGGAGAACCGCCATGCCATGAGCTCCCAGTACAGGATGTGCTCCTACCACCCACCTGCTTCTTACCTGGGCCAGGGGATTGGCACTCCGGCATGCGTCCCGCAGATCCTGACCTCGGAGGACATCCCCTCGTACTCAGAGTCAAAAGTAAGAGGTAAGTGCACACACCGGGGCTTCTGGCACCATTTTGACTTGGAACAGGCATCCTCACAACGTGGGTGGGTGATGGGAGGGAAGTTACTTGGCGGACAGTAGCTGCCAAAGTCTACGAGAGGTGCCTGGTTTCGGAAAGGCTTTCAGGGCAGTTGTGAAGTAGGAGTGCTACTGTACGGTAATATAAGCATGTATTTAAGAAGTTTCATCATTCAGGAGAGCAGTTGGTTGATACTGTTCTGCTCCAGCATATATTCCTGAAATTGTACAATGAGACCCTTGAAACAGCTGTCTGAGCTCACTGCATGGCTCTCTCATGAGAAAGATGCCCAGTTAGAAGTTATCTTTTGTCTCTTTTCTTCTCAGAAATTCTGTTTGCTATTTCTCCCTCAGGATCCCCAAGCCTTCCACTGAGCCTCCACTGTCCTGTTCTTTCTGAACCACACGTGGAAACTATTCCTGTATCCCATCCATATCACAGATTCATCTTGTTTGCTTTCAAACTTAGCACACCATACTACTTCACGTAAAACTACTGCAGATAAATCTGCCTTTTTATATCCCGTGTTCTCGGCCATCCCAAATATTACTGTAATCTGCAGTAATTTTTAGGAAGGAGTTTGTGAATTTACACTGAGGTTTTCTGATAATGTTTCTCTTGCTTCTTTGTTCTTCTGCTCTGTTAGCAGGTAGAGTACAGATATTAGAATGTCTCTGCTGGAGCAGACCAAACCCTATTTAGCTGCTTCCGTGTCCCTGGAACAGGCCAGTAATGCATAATCGAGAAACAGAGAAATAGCAGGGTGTTCCTACTTCATATGTCCAAAATTCTTGCAGTGCTACTGCATCTGAAGCTTCTGGACTATCCTATTCAGTTACCCGCAGCAGACCTGCATTCCATGAACTGAGCTAATCCTTCCAGACGCTCTTCACGCTTTTTATCTGTCTGTAGCAAAGAACTTGGCAGTTTAATTTGGTGTGGTTGGGAAGTATTTAATTTTCTTTATTTTATACCTGACAATTCTTTGTGCTATTTATTCTGTGTGTGGAGTGACAGCACTGACAACAGCACCTAGCCTCATTTGCTTCTCTGATGCACATGTACATTGAAGTGAATCTTCTGTTGGCACACATGTGCTGAGTCTTTTCTTACATCTGATGAAAAGATGCATGTTATGCAGGTCCCATATCTGTTTTCAGTCATGGCTTTTTTGTTGCTGATGTTCTGGTGTCTGTTTCATTTGTTTTGTGGTGAAAAACATGGTTGCAGTTAAGTCACCTTAAGGACTGAAATGAAGCTTTGGAAGGTGAAGTACATTTAAGTCATATCTATGGCTGGTGTAAATCAGCGTTGAGCCCTTGAATTCAGTAACTCCACAATGATTTATACTGAAGAGGTGGCTGCTGTTTCAGAGTGGCTGTTTTCTGAAAGTCTTCCAACTAAATACGACGTATTAGATAGATGAAGAAACAACACATGGTGTGATAAAACCTTAGACTTTTTCTCCTTTTCCAGTAGTTCTAAATGGCTTAGAGAAATCAGTGATCCTTGGTTCATTTTCCTTCTCTTTTCTTCAATTTTATTTTCTTCCTTCTTCTCTGACCACCATTGAGCAATGACGTCTTTCTTTCTGCTGATTGGTCCAAGAAGCACTTGGCTTTATGCTCAACTGCAGTTGACACTTTTTCTTGCATCCATCACTACTAACTCACTAAGAAGTCTTACCAGTTGAGTGTTCTTACAAATAGACAAAAGACCTTATACCCTTTGTTCCCAAATGCACTTCAGTAATTTTTCATCACTCCAGAAAAAAAGTTGTGCGTAATGTGCCACTGATTTTTAAACTGCATAAATACTGTATTTTCAATAATCCTTGACTGCTTCTCCAGACAGTATTCCACACACAGATATTGTTCCCTAAGTTACACCATCAATCAGAAACCGACAAGCAGTGAGATGTAATTTACTGAGATCAAACAGCATTTTCCAGACTCTGAAGAAGTGTTTTTCCATAGCAGGGAGGTAGTGGGTGAAAGAGGCACAAATATTTTTGTGAGAAAGTTGAGCCTGAGAACAAGACCATACCTGTTTCAGAGGCTTCTTAGAGGCATCTTCTTTTTTGTTGTGCTAGATCTTGGAGGAAATAACTGCTTTTACTTTTTCCATCTACAGACAAAGTAATATTCTCAGGCTGTTAGTCCATGATTTACACTCCCAGGACATATTCCTCTTGATGGTTTTCCTCAGAGAGTTTGAGGCTTTCTGCCCCTTCATTGTCATTTGTGTGGATGCTGTCAGCCAGCAGGCTGTGGGCTGTAGAAGCCCATAGGTACTATCCATGCTGCAAATGTTGTCTCAAATAACAGACACATTCTTACCATCTCTCCACTGATGGTTGGACTGAGCTTTGTACAGTGCCTGCTTGATATGAAGCCTGGTGGCTTGTTTCTGCAGGGTTAGAGATTGCTACTTCTTGAAGACAACTCTAGGGAATCACAGAATCACAGAATCACAGAATTTCTAGGTTGGAAGAGACCTCAAGATCATCGAGTCCAACCTCTAACCTAACACTAACAGTCCCCACTAAGCCATATCCCTAAGCTCTACGAATGTGAGCAAGCAAGTCGTATTTTACTAATTCTTCCTTTTCTGTGCTTGAAATAGCAACCATGCTCAGAGCCATGTTTTCTTTCTAACTATACATAGTGATAGATTTTAGGTCCAGAAGGTAACATTAGGATCATCTAGTCTTACCTGCTGCATAATGAAGACTGTACAATTTCACCTTATAGCTCCTCTAGCAAACTCAGAACTATTTTTTTAAGATGTGTTCCCATAGACTTGGTAATGCAGAAATTTTACAGGAAGGTAACAATGTGTTCGTAAGAGCAACAGGTCAACATAAAATAATAATTTTGCAGCCAAATTTTCAAAACTTCTGAGACCTGTATCTTTAACACAAATGGTTTTTAAATTCCCAGTCACAAATCAGAGATATAATACACACAGTCTATTACTCAGACTTCAATTGTAACTTCAGGTTTATAGAGGTTTTGCCAGTTCATATATTATCTCAGTTAGTATTTCAGTCAGACCATTTCATTAATTTTGTTCTGCTAAGTTAACTGCCTGTTTAGACCAGTTATGTCGAAAGGGAGGAAAGATGAGCTAGCAGACCACTGATTTACACTTTCTTTGGTTTTGTTTTTTGTTTTTTTTTATGAATGATGTGAAATTCCCAGTAAGCTTCTGACATTTGTACATGAGGTCATACCGTGTTACAGTGTGTTGCATATCGTAATGGACTGACATTTTCTGAATGGCAAAACACCATCACTCAACCTCCTTGCAATTTGAAGGTGTTCTAAGTGAAATGGTTTTGTTTCCAATGAGCACAGCTGCTACCCCTCTGGAAACTGGAAAAAAAAGAGGAAAAAAAGAGGGACAAAAATAAGAGAAAACAGTGACAAATGGCAAAAGGGTGTTTTCAGAAGGCTCTCTTAGATCACCAGTTTGTAACATATATATAATAATTTCTGGATAGAAGAGGAATTTTGTACTCCCAAAACATTTTTCCTGTCTCTCTCTTTTTTTTTTCCCATCTGGTATCTTGCTTTTTTTTTTTATTTTTTTTTTGTAATGAGCAATTAGAATAAAAGATATATGGGAGGTTGTTAACAATCCATGGGTATGCAGAGGATGCTTTAAAGGATGTTTCTGCTTTGCAAGCCAAGCTGAGAGCTCCTTGTGCAAGAGATGGAGTACAATACACAGCAGTCACAACAGGGTATTTTATCCCCAAGAACCAGGTGCCCTAGTCCCATTGATTTCTGTGGGGCAGTTTTCTGTGTTTTTTTTTCAAAGGATTATTTTCAGGTTCTGGTCAGTACACAGAATTGCCTCGTACCTTCTACTGGCTTTGGATCAGGCCCCTCCTGTGATCAGATTTGTGAAATATCTACACAAAACCTTGATTTGAGACATGAAGGTATGTGCTTAGATTGGGACTGGGTGCCCAGCTCTGGATTCTGTTTCCACTGAATAAGGGTGAGCATTTGCTTGGCTGTGGGAAGGTAGTTTCCAGGTTTGGGGCAGTTGCATAAAATCCCCAAGATTTAAATAAAAGAATGTAGAGAAGAAACATCCCTCTATTTGCAGACACCTTTGATTTCAAATTAATTATCTTGTCTTAACTTTAGCGTGGAGTAGAAACTGATCTTTGTCAATATTTTCTGAGCTGTGTTTGTTCCAATGGTGAAAAAGGTGGTTTGCGTTTAAACGTTGTTCTAGTTGCTGAACGGACTTGAATTTTTGTTTTCTGACACTGTCTCAGGGTAGCTGCAAACACACGTAATGAAGCACTGGAGCAGTGCTGTATTTGCAGCTTTAATGTAAAGCAGGAGCCATATAAAGCAGGAGCCTGAAACTCCTTCCAAACAAAAATGAGAAAAACTCATATGAAGTGTTCATTTTGATATGAAAAAGGTCAATGATTTTGTTTAAATCAGCAAACAGTGTTTTCCAAGGGAAAACATTTCAGGTAATATTTATTTTTATTTTCCAAGCAGAACAACTTCTAACACTTTCCAAACACTTTTCAATGAGTTATTCTTGCCTAGAAGCTAAACAACTGTTATCTCCAGTTTTACAGTTGTGGAAACTGAAGAATGGTGATTGAACAAGACACAGACTTCTCCGGGGTCCACATAATAGCTCCTGCTTCTGTCTGGTTGGATGCTGTATTGAAAATACTGCTGGGCCATTGGAGAAGATCGCCCAAACTATGGAGCAGCTCTGTAAAGAGTCTCCTCCAGTGGTTACACAGTCAAGGGGATGTTAGAAACAGTCTTCCTGATTAAGATGAAAAGTTCCATTTGACTAAAAAAAGTGTTGGAAAGTGAGGAAACCTATATGCCTGAAAAATGCAAGAGAGGTCCAGGCTAAGGATGTGTTTCTTCAGGATGGGCTGTAGTGTTGTGGTGGTTTTACTCGGGTGGGCG